AAAATTAAGCTAGGAGTGTGCATATTTTTTTTTTTTTTAATAATTTTTAGAATAATGATACAGACATTTTATTTCTTACATTTGTGATGATTCTTTTTTCCTCTCTATATTCAAGGGACACTATAGTCACCAGAACCACAACAGCTAAACGTAGTAGTTCTGGTGTCTATAGCATGTCTTTGCAGGCTTTTTAATGTAAGCACAGCCATTTCGTAAAAAGGCAGTATTTACATTACTGAAGAGGAATACCTCCAGTGGACACTCAGATGGCCACTAGAGGTGCTTCCTGTTCGAGACACGAATGCCGCCCCATGAAGTATCTGCGCATGTGCGGCAAAGCTGTGCATGCGCACCAGAGAGCAATGACGCTTTTGAATAGAAGCGTTTTATTGCTCCCTGCTCGCACCCTCCTATTTCGTTATTTTGACGAAATAGGGGGCGCAGCATCAGGAGGATCCCGGCGCTGTATCCAGGTAAGTAAATTCCCTTCCCTGTAGTGACCCTTTAAAGTTATTATTTAATCATTTATATAGCAACTGCAAATTCCGTAGCACTGTGCAATGGGATAAACAACTCATAGTTTACGGAATAAGAATATACCCTGCGAGTAAAAATGCTATCCCCCCCAGATTTTTTGGGGTTCCTACGCCCATGCACACAGCCCCCTCCACCCAGGGCCAGTGCAAGGATTTTTGCCGCCTTAGGCAAAAGTAAAGTTTGCCGCCCCCCCATGTGACATCACAATGCCCCACCCATATGATTTGCTATGTTAACTAACCCCAGTGCTGCAGTGCCGCCGCAGGGACAGGCTATAGACACCAGAACCACTACATTAAGCTGCAGTGGTTCTGGGGACTATAGTGTTTCTTTAATGTGAGGTAGCCCCTCTCCTCATGCTGCGCCCGGGCGGTGCACCCTCATGGACGCACCGCCCGGGCAAAGCTGCAGCCGCCTGAGGCTCTCTACAGCAATGGGGGGGGGGGAGGGGGCGGCGCTCCTAGTCTTGGCACCCCCCACCCTGGTGGCAGCCGTGGTGGACCGCCCCCTCTGCCCCCCCCCTTAGTACGCCACTGCCTATATCTGAAGGGCTGCATGGCCTCCTAAGTGTTCACCTTTGCCTCATTATATGCCCCAAATGTAGGTCAGCGCAAACTGAAAATCAGTGTACTTTTTCTTCTTGAAATGTTTATGGATGGACCGTGATTGTTGGGGGCAATTTTAATGTTTCTTTAGATCCCAGAATGGATACTTCTACTGAGCATAGCTACGTTCCTCAAAGGGACCTTTACATCATTAAACAGGGCCTACACATACTCCATGTGGTTGACTGTTGGAGGGTGCTGAACCATTAGGACCATAATTATACTTTTTATTCAGCTGTTCACAATATGTTCTGTGCTTAAAAAAATTCCTGCACACCTTTGCTCATCACTGTTTTCTTCTGACCATTCCCTGGTAGTTATGTATTTCACCTCTTCACCATTTAAGCCAACATAATGAACATGAAGGCTTAACAAATTCTTTCTATCTGATCTTGATGCCTCCTGGACACTCCTCCCTCCTTGGGAAGCCCACATGTGTGCAGTACATGGCCATTTTATATGATTTGCATCCCACAGAAAAAAACTGCATGGCTGGACTTAAGAACTGGTTGCCAAGATCACAGATCAGGAAACTAAATATAATAAGTGAGTCCACCTATTTTTATCTGTTTAGGCCTCGGATGTAGCTTTAGGCCCAGATTTATCTTGAACCAGAGAGAGGAGTGTTATTGCTCTACTTGGACCCCATGGCTGGCTTTCCTGTATGTATGTGGCAAAAGTAACCTTGCCACTTTTACTAGGAGGGGCCTGCTTGCCATCCTCCTGCCCACAGACTATGGGCCCTGCAGGGAAACCTGTAAAAGACTACCGAACTTTACCAACCCTTAGCACTGATTTCCCTGGAACTGTTTTGGGCATAGGACCATGTGCACGGTCGGTCAAAACTATGACTTCCAGGAAATTCCTGAATCCCTGAACCAATCTGGGTGATTTTTGGATTTGTTGTTCACCCAGATCTGTGCTATCGGGGGAGGTAACTTTTATGGGATTTTATGTGGTTTTAAGGTACTTTTTTGGGTTTCAGAAAATTGTATGTTTTTCTGTACTTGGAGATAATTGGGTTAGATTAGTACAGTTCCTGATTCAATTATCTCCCAAGCACAGAGGAGGGATTCTATTGTTTGTGTTTGGGAGTTGTGGCGGAACAGACCTCGCTACGTGTTCTTGAAGGGGGCTGCTTGCCCGCCTCCTACCTTCTGACTATGGCCCTGGGATATATGGCATTTGAAAACACTATTTGTGCCCTGTGACAAAACTGGAGATTGTGCACAAATATAACTATTGTCCATATTTTTTATGATTCCCTTCATATGTTGCACTGTTCCCCATGTGTTTCATCTGTAGGTCCGGCTGGATAGACTACCAGACAAACTGTGGAGTTACTGGGTGGCCACCATTTCATGTATCAGAGGCACATGGTGAGAACAATGGATGAAGCACATGGTGAGAACAATGGATGGACACCTTTTTAACTCACAGACACTGTTTGGACTTTTCTACACGGTGCCATCTTGCCGGTATTTGGTGCACAAAGACATCGTGCAGTAGTTTTAAACTATACAACAGGGGACACATTATACAGTAATTATTTTTCATATAGCCTGTATATGTTCTGCGGAATCTGCATTAAACTGTATCTTCCAAACTACTGAACGGATCTGGGTGAATTTTGGATATTTTGTTCACCCAGATCCCCCGGTTCCGAGGATATACTTTTTATGGTTTTATTGCATGTTTTGGGGTCCCTGTGATATGTTTTATAATACTGTATTTCTCTGCCTGTGATAATTATATTAACCATTGTGCTCGGTAATCATATCACAGGCAGAGGAGAGGATTTTGTGTGGGAGTGTCTCTGTGTATTGTACGGATTGATTGGTTGTATTTCAAAACCCTGTGGGCAGTACTATGTTTGTGGATTGTGAATAAAAGAGGCTGTATGTGCCAGTACAGTCAGTTCTGCTTGACCTCAAAACGAAGTGTCGTCTCGTTATTGGGGGAATTGGATTGTATGCTGATTGCCAGGAGTGTAAGCTGATTGTATGCTTTTTCAGCTGCTTACAGCATTCACATGCTTGAGGGCATGCTTCGTATGCTTCTCCAGTTTGGTGGTTGTGGTGTCTGCTGCAGTGCTTGGAGTCCTTCAACGGAGGTACCCAGTCAGAGTGCCAGGTGATCCGTTACAGGAGTGTTTCACTGTATGACTCTGTTTTTATTGGTTTATTCACTTTGTATCCCTGTGCCCAACAAGGTCCACCTGGGTGTCACCCTTGTTGTGAAAATTGCATAAAAGGGCAGTGTGCCTACATTAAAATTCTGTTTTGGCTTACCCTCAACATAGAGTCTCATCTCATGTGTGGGGTAAATGGCTGTATCTATCCTGGGGATTGCTATATCACTATACTCCCCAGGAATTATAATCACTAGCTCTTATAAGAGCTGTTCCTGCTACGATCTCTGGGAGTAGGAGAGGTCTGCTCACTGGAAGCTGGATCCTGGTCTTGGGTCCAGGGTGGGTGAAGGAGACTCCGGCGCAGCTGCATCGCTGGAAGTGGGGTCTGCAGTGCTTACAGTGTCTGGTGGAGTGCTGGAATTCCTTGGTGAGCATTAGGAGCATCGAAAGGCAGAGGCACTCGGTCGGAGTGCCAGGTGCTCCATCACAGGGGACATCTGGGGATTGGTTTTGAGGCCACAAATGGAGTGGTAGACCTCTTTCTAGCTCCTCGCCTTTTCTGTTTTTTCCTCCTGCTTTTTTTCTCTTCTCCCTGCTCTCTCCCATGCGGGGAGTCCGCCCTTTACCCTATCCCACTCTCTTTTGTTCATTATTCCTTATGGAAACACATCAGCCTCTGGATTTAGTCCAATGCTTCCTCTATTCTAGCCAAGTCAAATTATCTTGCATCTTGAGACTACACAGAATGATGTGCACAGCTTGTTTGTTGTTTCCACTATTTGGAAAGTCTCTATTTAATTTCTGGGATTCCTACCTGTTGGTTTCCATATTTCTGTTTTCTTTGCCCTTCCTGCATGGGCTATTTTCTTCTGATGTGTTTTTGCATTGATCAAAAAATCTTAAATAAATATTGACACAAAACATTGTATTCACTAAGCTGGGAAGTTTGGAGTTTAAACCAAAATAGCCAAACAGCAATTTTTTTTCCAATTCACAGAGTTACTCGTCTAAAGTGTGGATTGTTAGAAACGCATGCTTTTTTGTCAAACATTTGCAACATTGAGGTATATGGTAGGTAGGTTTGAGAAGAGATTTAGTAAGCTTATCATTGGCTAGATGAAATATAGCCGGACATGTAAGTTGCAAGGCATTCGATTAAATTAACCTGCACCATAGATGAGCAGAATGTAGAGTACAGGCTTATTAGTGCATGTCTCTGCGTGTTTTGTATGGTTAAAGCCCTTGTAGCCACATGCATTAAAAGACATATTGGCTTATTAATCAAACATATATGTGTAGCTACCGGCTTATCAACTGATAAAACAAATTAAATGAAATGAAACGTTTGTACCGCTGGGCGTTTAGCTATTTATAGCAATGTGAAAACAAATTAAATGAGATGGAACGTTTGTACCGCTGGGCGTTTAGCTAATTATAGCAATGTGAGCAGGTACTAAGTCCTGCATTTTGACCAGGCTGGTAGCTATAATGGAGGTAGCCGCAAACCTTCACCCGATGCCACTGATGTGCTTTAATAGGTAGTCCATTCTTTGGCCCGGCATGGTGTCTCCTTGTGCCCTCCTGCTGATCTGCGACAGGTACCAGTCCTCATTCGAGTCGGGCACAATCAGTTGTAGTGTTTAATGACCGGAGCTCTTCTGTGGGTACAGTTCGTGAGGGTGGGTGACCGTGCATGTAGTGGAACTCTTGTCTCTAGCTTGCACCAGAATTATAGCCTTGCTGCTGTGGACCCAGCGACCACCGGTTGTCAATTTCTTTCCAGGCTTGGGATTCACACTGGGATTCCGTCTCAGCTGGGTAGAGCCGTGGTGTCTTGGAGGCGGGATTCCTTCTCTGCCCTGAAGTTGTGTGAGAGCTGGTGCCCGCAGGCCACAAGCCTGGGGACCGTTGTGGTCCAGGATTGTCCCTTTCGGGATGGTGCAGGGAGTCTTGTCAGTCTGTGTAAGTAGTCGTTTGGTGCTCTCCGCTGGTGTGGCTGGCACCTCTGGGGTGTGCCCATGTTGCTCTCAGCCTGGGAGGGCCCTAAATGCGGGAGTCTGAAGCGTGGGGCTTAGTTTTGCCCTGAGGAGGACTCTCAAGCATCCGTCTGCCATTGGCTCTGTCCCGTGTGGGCGGTTTGTGGAGAGGCACCTCAGGCTGTAAGCGCGCCTTCAACTTGACCCAGAAATGGTCAAAGATTACTGCAAGGGAGTCTCTTGTGTGGTCTCCGGTGTCCGCTACAGCATATTGTTGCCATCGCTTTTCCGACACTGTCGAGTCAGAGAGATCCGCCATCTTCGAGGCTCCCGACTCACATTGCTTAGGGAGGTTGCTGGGCCTCCGTCCAGCGGGGACCGCGATATCCTCCACCGGTCCACAGGGTGGGGGGGGGGAGGGAAGTGTTTTGTGATCGCGTGTGTCGTTTAGCATCTGGCGGGAAGGTGGCCGTCCTTCCCCCATGCCTCCGGCGGTGGGCCTCATTCTGCTGCTGCGGTTCCTGGTCGAGCTGTGTGTCGAGTGTGGTGTCGGCAGGTTCATGACTGCTTCCCCATTCCAATGGGCTGATTTGTGGGTAAATCGCAGCATTATATCCTAAGTTATCCGCAGAGTTTGAGCCCTTACTGCAAGAGCTTGTGCAAAGTGCGTCTAGTCAGTTTGCTAGTTCGGCTTAAGTTGACAATTTTTTAAAATTTGTCTGTAATTTTAATTTTTAGGCTCTTTTGGTATGAAATATATTAGTTATGTAAATTCTCCAAAATTGCCTATTTAAGCGGATAAACCCTCTAGAATTTTAGTCCTTGTTTATTTTGTGTTGAATTAAACCAAAAGCATATTAAATAACTGAACAAAAGTTGCAGGTAACCACACCATGGATGTGTAGATGCTATATAGTAGTTTTCTATTAATTTCTTACAACTCAAGATGCAAGATTCATGTGTCTCTAAGGTTTTAGCAGAAATCTCTTAAAACGTGTTGCAGAGGATGAACAACATTTATAGTTTTTCCTCTTGCCTTGTATAGTGCTATGCCACTGGTACCACTTCTAAGCATACACTTTACACAACAATGGTATAATTAGCTGAGAGAAGGCCCTCTTATTCTCTCCTTGCATGCTTCACAAACCCTGGAATTTTGATTGGGACATGAGGCTGTTGCTTTGTGGGATAAAATTGATACAGATCAGTGTACAATCCCACCACAGCCCACAAATCTGTTAGGTCTATGTGGTTACCATAATTACCCTGAAAAATCATAATCATCTCGAATCGTATATCAATTCGTATATCATGTAAGGATAACATCTGCCAATAATTTTGTTGTATCTTTGTTTCCTATAAAAAAATCCTTAAAATGTTTGTATCCCTTGAAGATTTTTTTAATAGAGTGTATTCTTTTATTTATTTACCCTTAGTGCAAGAATAAGGAAAAGTTGTATGCAATGTAAATGAAAAGCAGAAATACAGAACAGAACTAAGAAAAGCTAAGAAACTCAGAACTTAATGCCTCTCTTTACAAAAGACTGTTTTGTTCTGGGCTAAATACCTTCTGCTATAGTGGCCCAAAGCCATAGTACCAAATCGAATCTATCTGTATCTCTTCATCTCTACATGATGCCTACATTGGCCAATATAGACTATCTCTACATGATGCCTACATTGGCCAATATAGACTATCTCTACATGATGCCTACATTGGCCAATATAGACTATCTCTACATGATGCCTACATTGGCCAATGTGAACTATCACTATTTATTATACAAGTAGAATATAAACATCCTCAATCTCTCATTCTACTATTCCATTAATATATCACTTAGAAGAATATTACCCACAGATGATTGTTAACCCAATGAAACCATACTTGCACATAAGTATTTGTTTCCTTGGCATATAGAAAACCCACATTTTGAAATTATAGATGGCTCAACTCTGGATTGGCTTTTAAGAGGAGCTGTCACTTCAGAACTCCGTTATGCTTTAACGAGAGAGGTTCCATTTACACCTACTAGACAATACTCATTCTTACAGTGTTGAGGAGAGCAGTGAAGGTAAGTACAATGCACATCTCTTTAGAAGATCCATGTTTAAGACATTATCTCATTCCATTATTGTTCAAGGTGTACCCTTATTCACTTGGGCATCTGCTTGGAAAGTGCTATCCACATGCATGCATGCGCAGGTATTTCTTACATTATGCTGTACGCATACGTTTGCTAACGCAATATCTGCCCACATGTTACCATAGTGTTTAAATTCATTAACATCGTGTGTCCTGGCCAGGACAGCCTGACATATGATGCGAATGAAAGAATAAGAATACTGTGTTACAAAACATAGTCAACAAACAAACAAAAAATACTTATTCTATAGCTAACCTTTAACTGTTAGGTTGTGCAAACAATAGAGAAGTGACAGTTTCCCTTTAAAGAGCATCTGTCATGACAAACTTGGCGTGGTGACACACTATGTGGAAAAAGATTTCTTATATATATATGTATATAGTGCAAGCCATAGTGGTAAAATGGTAAAGGTTATTCTTATTTTTATGTTTGATCTTCTGTTGACATGTTAGTAACTACAACAAATATGGTGTCTACAGAAGATACAGCAGCATCCCAAAACTGGGTTATTCACTAAAGTGTGAACTGCCATGAATCCAAAGTGAATTTCAAATTGTAAGTCGAAATAGGCAATGGAAAAAAAATCATATAATTTCTGTTTTCATTTCAACTATTTTGCCATTAAATGTGAAATGTACTTTTTGAATTCTAGGCCCTTCACACTTTAGTAAATAACGCTGCTAGTATACACTTATGCTAGGAATATGATTATATTTTGTGAAGGGTGCAGTGTGTGTGTGTTAGGGGTGCAGTGTGTGGGTGTGTGTATGCTAGGGGTACAGTATGTGTGTGTGTGAGGGATACAGTGTGTGTGTGTGTGTTTTAGGGGTACAGTGTGTGTGTGTATTAGGGGTACAGTGTGTGTGTGTGAGGGGTACAGTGTGTGTGTGTTAGGGGTACAGTGTGTGTGTGTGTGAGGGGTACAGTATGTGTGTGTGTGAAGGGTGCAGTGTGTGTGTGTGGGTGAGGGGTACAGTATGTGTGGGTGTGAGGGGTGCTTCTTTATCACTTTCTTAAGACTTGAGAAAAGACCACAAGTGGGTCTGAAACATTGTCGCTGCACAAATAAAATCTTTCTTACTATTTTCTAACAAAGTCCTACGAGTGCCCATTCCTTCCTAACATTTAATCTATATTTAAGTTCCATTTTAGCACCGGGGCATATAAACAACTGGATAGACTTGTGCACAGTGTAAACGTTTAGTTCGTCAGAATCCTATTTCCCAAAATTAATTTTTTTTGTTTGGGATATGTGATGCTCATACATGGGATGGTTTGGTTTGGCTAATATTGTCTATGGAAAAATATTTGGGAAAACATTCAGACATACCAAAAATTGAGAGAAAGTAGGCCAATCTGTGTATCCAATGATACATAGAGTAACTTTGATTTGCTGAGCATGATGAAATATGTAGTCCACGAATATCTGCTTTAGACATCTCCTATTAATCACTATTAGTAGTCACCAGCTGTTTGCTTAGTCATCCTTATGTGTAGAATGAGTGGCTATGGAAAACAGCCTACGTAGGGAACTCTTGTTCTCAGGCGTTTGCAATCTAAAGGGAAATCGTAATTTTCAAGACTATTTTATATTATGTTTATTTATTCCTATTTTTAACTTAGAAGTATTTGTGAACGCAGAAACATGCAAACACACATTCATGTTAATCTTGAACCCGCTAACCTCATTTAAACACAAAAATACATGCACCCAACTCATGTGTACAATTTACATAGACACTCAGCAATTTCAATAACATATCGCCTGCCTAGCTTCTCATATAACACTGGGCCTGCTTTGAAAGGTGCACAGTTTTTTTTATGTAACAGTACGTTGTATTAGAAGGCCCCTTTGAAACAAGGTATTCCTACATGGTATTAAAATGGCATTCTAAACATCATAAACACCACAGCTCATAGCACTAATTATGGTAGAAAGAGTCTGACAGAGCTAGACGTGGGGCAGCCCAATGCTCTCAGCTTATCATTGCTGTTGAACTGGCTAGTGGGCAAGTTCAAATCTGTATTAGTTCTATGGCAAACTGTCGACGCTGGAAGAAACAGTCAAAAATTGTTTGAAATAATAGAAAACACCACCAACAATTTTTTTTTTTACTGCAACTTCTGTACTGAGCTGTAGGCAGAGGCGGCTCTAGACTTTGCAAGGCCTTAGGCGAAAGTCAAACATGAGGCCCCCCCACTTACACCATTAGTGAAAAACATTGCCGCAGCTCCCTATGCCGCTGCGTTGTGAGCACTTTTACTGTAGATATGGCATAAATTGCTAATCATTTATATACGATTGCTGGGTATGGTTATATAGCCTGGCAGTCGTGTATACATAGGTGCCAGTGTCAAGGGGTTATTTGAAAAATTAAATTTTTTGGTTTGGCTTTTAAAAAAATCATTTTCTAAATAATAAAGTTACAGATAAAAATACAATGTCATAAACATTTCCCCACATATTCTAAATTCCTTAACATGTATATTATCATATATGTGTTTCCCTATGTATTGTATATGTATGTATGTATGTATGTATGCATATATATGTTGCTTGCAACTTTATCTTTGCATTACCCATATCATACCACAACCACACTGCAGACACACGCACACATTTAAACACTAATACACAAATACATATACACACTGATACATGCACATGCATTTACACACACAAACACACTGATGCACAGAGACACACATATTGACTAATACAGACATACAGTCACAATGTGTTTATCTGGCTGTGTGTATTTCTGAATGTGTCTGGCATTGTCTGTCTGTGTATGTGCCTGAGAGTGCGTCTGACAGTGAGTACCCTTGTGTGTGAATGTATGTTTCTGTGAGCATG